AGATAGATAGATAGATAGATAGATAGATAGATAGATAGATAGATAGATAGATAGATAGATAGATATTGCAATAGACAAAAGTTGAATGTTGATAATTTCACTGAACTCTGATGCAGAACCACGCAGCATTCTGGGAGATGTAGGCAGAGGAAAGGCTTTAGCTGCTTGACCTCTCACGGCCAACAGGCCCAGCCAAGCAAGGCTGGTGGCATCAACTAACTCACTCACTTTTTGGTAAATTAGCAACAATCTGTTGAGTAATATGTGTAGCAGCAGTTTCATGATTTGCCACCGTGCCTCATAACTGCTTCAATAAAAGAGAATGAGAGCAACAGCTCGAGAAGAAATTGTGGATAAAAGAGGAAAGGTCATGTCACCAGTTTGGAAGGATTAATCAGCCATTTCTCTCCTGGTCCTTATTTCAAATTGATAAAAAATAAATAAATAAAAACCTAATCAATAATTATCAATATCAACTGATATAAAATGTTTATATTGTGATATATGTTTAAGCCATATCACCCAGCCCTAGTTTTTACCAACTAGAATCTGATGCTGTTTAAGGTAGAAGGAATTATTATTAATATCCAGGTCATTTATTAACTACTTATGTGACTAATTAAACAGTTATTACTTAAACTGGCTGTGACGATATGATTTTCTGCAAGGTTTTCTTTATGTGATGACAGATTTGAAAATAACGGTCAGAAATGTCACTTCCTTCCAGTTTCTTTCCCTGAACAGGAAAACATTTGTGTTTGTGTGCGCCTACGTTCACATCCTGTCCAGCTGGGCAAGCCAAAGCCCTGATGTGGCTCCCCTTCTTCCTGTGGGCACACAACTCTTAGTGTGCTCTGATGTGAAAGCATTTATAAAGCCTTGGACTGTAGGACTGCAAAGTAAATTTCAATTAAAACTCAATGATCTTGGAAAAATGAGTACGTASAGGGTTGTTTACTATATCTGAAGTGGATATTTGTGTAAAAAACTATAAATCATAAAGATACTTCACTATATACTAATTAATTGCAGTTTCCCTTTTTGTCTGCCTCATCAAATTCATTTGTAGAAGACAGAAAATTAGGTTTGAATATAATAATCTGCAGCCTGTTTTATGTCCTCACTAAGCTCCACAGATTTGTTATTAACACTAACTGGATTGTTTAGATAATGTTTATTAATCCCACACATTTAACTTCACTGATAGTGAGAAATYCTGTAAATATAACAAGTTATTCCACATAAAAAAAACTGGACAATTTGTGTCAACTGGTGTATTTGGATCAGCCTGTTGACACCTGATCCCAAGATAATATGACAGAAGAACAAAATGCAAAATAAGAAGAAGCTAAAGTTTCTTGGTCCTACTCAGGAATGTGAACAAGGAAGCCTTCCCTGCTCAATCCAGTGAACAACAGTTTCATCATTTTAAGTGTAAATGTCTATTTATTACTGTAACTATCCATGCAGTATTGTAAGAATAATATGCACGAGAACCACTGTGTTGGCCGTTCGGCTGTCTGACTGTGCCGCAAACTGGGCCGCTCTCCCWGCTGTGGCAACGCCGTGGGCCAAAGAAGCAAGCTGTGACAGACGGTCCAAATCACATCGCTTCGACTTTTCTGCAAAACAGTGGCTGAGTTCAGAAATATCACACAAACACCACCACAACCTGGGAATCCTTTGCACAAACAACTTTTACTACAAGTTTCAACTCAGTGTGGACTGGAGTACAAAAAGCATGACAAAAAGAAAGTTTTTGTTTCTGAGTGCACACATTTAGCCACTATTTATTATACTGAAAAAGATATCCAAAGTCTGAAAAAAATGACTGTCGATTTGTATCTTTGAGAGCTCATCTGGGACTGACAAAATAATGTAACTTTAGAGAGTGCAACTCAGAAGATGAGTGTGTTTCCACDAGTTTTAAACAAAGATTTTAAATAGAAGTATTACAGGAAATGCAGCAGTTTACTTTGTATGCTTAATAGCTTTAATACTTATTTAACACAGAATCAAAGTCTGCAAACCAGTTATAAACAGTTATTCTGGCTAAATGACGAGATTAGCAATAACATGCCAGTGCTTGTGAATCATTTTCAGATGTTCAAGTATTTCATAGGTTTTTGCTGGAAGACTTTTGCTTTTGAGACCTATTACAGATCAATAAACAGTGAACTCCAGACTTAATCTAGGCTTTGTATACATTTTTCTTTACATGCGTCTATGAAATGTAGTCGGGGAAGCCAGGCTTTGACCAGCAACTCTTCAGCTTTTCTTTTTTTAATAGTAACTTGAAGTTCATGATAGTTATAAACATGCAGACCTACACATGCAGGTACTGATGATGAGTTTTGGGGGCTGATTCCAATTTTCAATAATTGTGCAGCTCTGACTTGCCAATACTAGTTTATTTTAATAAATTATAACTAATGCAAAGTATTCATCCATCTGTTTTCCTTACCCAATTTCCAGTGCAAAACTGCAAACCTGGTGCCCATTTCCTTAAGTCATTGTGCAAAATGCAAGGTACACCCTGGACAGGTGTAGTACTGACCACTTAAATTGGTCAATATAGCAAAATGTCTTTATTATTATTATTATTATTATTATTATTATTATTATTATTATTATTATTATTATTATTATTGTACTTTTATAAACATGGGAATCAGACTCAAGTATTCCATCATCAGTCTTTCATGATCTATTTATTGATTTAAATTAAGGTCTGACATCCTTGGCTTTTTGTGCCTTTCAGCTCTTTTAAATACCCCATCCTAAAAAAAAACTCACCCTCTCATGTATTTATACACACATGTGTACAGTAGAGCAGTGTTTCCCAAAGTTGGGGTCGGGACCCAAAGTGGGGTCCCGAAACATCAAAGGTGGGGTCCTGAAAAGATTTTCTGAATTAATTACATTTTTGCCTTAGTTGTTACAAATGAGTGAGGTTAGTGTATTTAAAATGGATAAATGTAGTATAAAAAATGCTGTTACTATGCCCATGTTTTGTTGACCTGATACAAATGTTTATCATCCAAAAATAGCTGGGGGCACAGGTCTCTGCTACTGTTATTTTGTGGGTCAAAAGCTGAAAAGTTTTGGAACTAGTGCACTTTGGTTCCCAAAGTTGGGCTTGGGACCCAATTATGGGTCATGAAGCACCTTGGATAATCTCCAGAAATCAATTTAAAGGGTAATAAAATAATTGTTGATGTAATATTTTCCTTATAACTATTACAAAAACACAAAATAAGTATAATTAAGTATTTATATGTGTGTACAAACTGTTTATACTGTTAAAAAGCCTGTGTTTTTAGGGTTATTAACGAAGTTCATGTACTCAGWCCAAGTTTTTGCMATGGATATTTTGTGGGTCAGAAGATAAAAAGTTTGGGAACCACTGCAGTAGAGGACCAAAATGCTGAGTCACTTCACCTGCTGCCTGTTTATTCAGGCTCTCAAGGGACTCGGACGTGACTTCACCATCTGATGCAATAAAGGCAAAGCTGATTCTGGTTCGTGGGTTCTGTCGCTTTCTTAATATATTCAGTGGTATCAGACCTAACACAAAGCACAGGAGCATGGTCATTTCAGTATGCTATAAGTCATCTCTGCCTTGTTTACATCCTGACAGTGCCGCCAGGCCACGTGCACAGGTGTAATAACCGCTCAGGGATGCTGGGAGGAGCAGGAGGAGTAAGCACCTGAGGCGGCTCCCGTGTGTGACCCCCCCAACAGAAGGATGCAGCCTGATGTTTTGTTTGTTTTTTGTGCCCTGCTCCAGCTCACCTCCTCCGCGTGCTTCCTCAGCGCCTTTTCCCGCTCGTACTGGGTGATGAGCTGCTCGTTGTCCTCCTTCAGCAGCTCCAGCTCCACTTCGTGCTCCTGGTTCTCCGCGAACACGGAGTCCAGGTTCTCCAGCACGGCCACGACCAGCGGCATCAGCTCCTTCACCACGTCCTCGTCGTATTTGCCGATGAGTCTCTCGAACTCGCGGTAGATGGAGTTGGCCAGGCCCGACACCCGCTCCGACATCATCGCTGATGTCCCCGGGTCGTCCTGGTACACAACTCCGTCTTCCAGCTCCATTTTTCCCCCCTCTCCTTTTCAGCAAACAGAGCCGGTGTGTGCGGGTTGTGTTTCTCCCCGTAACCCCGCCACTGTGAACACCTATATGTTGCCCAATTCAAGCAGCATTTCTTTAAACAAACGGACCCCTGAGAAACCGCTCACCGACGTATGATCACAATGCAAGACAAGCTACGTGGATTTCTTCCTATTTATTCCCGTTTCCGTGCTGCGTTCAAACGCTCTTACAAAGCTCGTATTTCTTCATTTTATTATTAGACCGACTTGTTTAGTTCTCAAATGCAAATAAACTTCACCCCACAAGAAAAGTTGTATGATTTGTACAAACAGACAACTAATAAATGGTATTCTCGTGAAGTATATATTAACAAGCAATTTAAAAATTTGATCACGCTTATACAATACTCAACAAGGGTCTTCTTTTTTTCAGTTTCGTAGTTTGAAATGCTAAACTACTGCATGTCAAAGGTCTACATTTTGCGACTTGAAAGGCAGGTAACAGATAACCACTCCGAGCCTTTGATTTTAAGATCTATGTTCTCAGTTACAACATGTTCGACRATCCGTGAATCCACCAACAAACAGCTGAGTCGTAGACCAGGTCACGTAATGACGTCACATCACGCTACAAATGAAGACCATTTGCAGTGACGCGTTATTGTAGTCCTATTGTGTGACAGAACCATCAGGATGATTTGTTTCTTTAGTCAGATAAAGACTGGAGATAAGGAGCCTTTTAAGAGACGCTCTTGCCCTTTTAAAACGTATCAATTTAATTATTGTTTTGCTTTTATTTTTCTCTTTTCTCTCATTCACGTTGATATTTTATTTTATTGCTTGAATACTACAAGTGTGATTCTGAACAAACAATCCCTAAGTAGAAGCTTTAGTAAAGAAGATGAKAGATGTCAGGCTGGCAGCAAGTGAAATGGGTTATTTAATATAATATATAAATTGTGTTAAACATCATGTGGACTGGCTGAAGARCACAGATGTGTTTTCTTGTTTCCACAGAGATTCCACAGCTGGCGATTCTCACCAAAGCCGATGAGGCCTGTCCTGAGGCTGCCAAAAAYGTCGACAACATTTACAAAAGCATCCACCTGAAGGAACAGGTAAATATTTGTTCATTTAACTTGTAAAAATGTTCATGGTCTRAAACTCCTTGCAGAAACAATAGTTTTACAAATGTCAAATATCGTTATTTTTAGGTTGACAGATTCCACCAGCTGCTGGGTATTCCATTAAACTGCATTTTCCTTGTGAAGAACTGGGTCTCAGAATCAGAAACCAATGAGAAGGTGGATGCTCACATCATGTGCACTCAGGCAGATTGGAGGAGACTTTCTCAACAACCTACAGAGCTGTCTTCTCACTGGATAAACGTTCATGATCAAATGATGAATGATTACACATTTTCTGAGGAAAAAGATGGATGTTACTTTTGTTAATCATTTGTTGTATTTTCCCATCTCATAAAAAACAGATTTGGTTTACTAATTTTAATTAGCAATGATTAGACTTTTTTATTAAAACAAAGTTTAATTACGCATCAAGCTTTACCATATTGACTCATCATCAAGCAACAATTAAATAATGAAGTTTTCACCTGTGATTGATTGTTTTGTTATTTAAATCATTTATTAGGAATGATGATCATAGTAAATCCAACTTCTTTATAAATGACCATGAAAAAAAACTAAACACATGTAAATAATATCTACAATGGAGTTTGGAAGAGTGGGTCAGAAACTTGCGCTGTAAACCAGTCTTTTTACGCAAGAGATGGTGAGAAAGCAAACTATTTAGGTAATTTAGTTAACAACAAATTTTATTTTGAGGGGAAAACGGCACCTCGTCTGGCTGCATTTTCTCCAAAGTGACTTGTCATCTCTCAGCGCAGCAACAAATTCCAGCTGCTTTTGGACAGCAACAATAATAACAAACTCTGCGCAATTATTTGTCAACCCTGACAGGAAAAGTTATCTGCTCTGGGTCAAATATAGGTGAGCACTTGGCCCAGATCTGTAAAGGACTATGGGCTCTTTTTTTTTTTCATTTGTTTATTTATTTTTCCTTTTCTCCACAACCCGTAAGTGTGGATCTGGAGAACRGATGGTTGCACACAGGTTTGGGCCAGATGTGGCACAAAATACAAAATACTTTTTTTAGGCTGCTTTGTTCGACCCAGATGGGATCAGAGGCATCATGATCACAGTCAACCCAGAGCTGGCGCATTTGCGTAAATCCTCCGACTGTTCTCCATGGGTTGTGCGCAACGCGCCTCTTTTAAATACTTTATTAATTTATTATCAAGAGTTTGTTCTCTTTTTTTACATCATTATAGTTATGAAGTGCATTGCCTTCTGGAGAAAACTACACCAACATAAGCATCAAGTATAAACTCCAGCTTGCAAACGTGTGGTGAATCTTTTGAATCTTGGTGAGTTTTGAATCTTACCAAAGGCACCAAAATGGCTAGGGCTGCCCCTGCTTATAATGTAAACTTACATTACTCATGATATAGTGATATATTCTTTTTTTAATGTGTTTATTATGTGCATGTGCTTTTATTATGCAAGAAATGACCGAGCAGCTCTATGTGCTCTGTAGGTTGTTGATAAAGGCCTCCACACACTCCCTTCGAAGCCAAACAGTTGACGTGTGGTTGTTCCGCATTCGTTTTTGCTCACACCTTACAAAATGCCAAGCTTTGGAAACTCCTCCTGCTGCAATGCTCATCACTGCTGCACGGGGGTTCTTCCCGATGGGGAAGATGGGGAAACTCAGAGAAAAAAAAAACCTCCAATCTGCTAACTGAGTGATGCTATTTTTGGCAGTTTGGATGGCACATGCAGAGGCCTTAAGTCTTCTGTCCAAGTTCACACAAAATGTGAGCATCAGCCCAGGCCAGTTATTTTTATAGTTTGTTTCACGTTCACTTGATCAGGTTTCACTTTTACTCTAATCACGATTTCAAGGAAGTCCATGTTGTGGCAGTCTCACATGAAATAACTTTCAGCTCAGGTTCATGCAAAAACCTGTGTTGTTACTATATATTCAGAGCATTTCAAAAAGATTCAYTTTACTGTGGTGATAGTGTTATTGTTTAAAAGTCGGGAGCATATACCTTTTTTATTTTCTTGAACTAAAATCTGAAATTTATTTGTATTTTGGGACAAAAAAATTAAAAAAAGGTAGAATAGATATTAGTGGTTTCTAATGAAAAGGTCTTGCCATTTGCAAGCCCACTGCACAATAACGGCTTCTGTAGTTTCATTTGATGGAGATGTATATTCTTTATTCAGGATACTTAGTCAGATATGACCTTTTATGTAAAACAGACACATTTTTATACTTGGCAGTGATTGGTGCAATTACAAACCAGGATTTCTGACGAGAATGATCACACACAAAAAYAAAATCTGACAGATAATACATGAACAACAAGCACGTACAACAGCTTGTCTTACAAGTCCTTTAGTGATGTGAAAGAGTTTATTTTTTTATTTCTTGTATGTTGTACAACAAAACAAAAAGCTTGTATTAATGATGACAAACAGGTTATTTTTATTTTAATTGTCATGTTTACAACAATTTCCCTGATTGTTCATCTGAACTCTCTGACAGAAGGACAAATCATTTCAAATGGGACTTCCTCAGCAATGTTTTAAGCAATCAGATTTCTTCTCAGCACCGTTTTTGTCTTCTGTCATGATCTGTGGGATTTGAGCTTCACATCCGTTTGTATATGTAGATGACTTTGTTGCAGTTTGGACAGCGATGCTGCACATCTTTACAGGAATCAACGCAGAACGGAATACAGCAGCAAAGCCAGCATCTGTGGATTTACATGCAGAATACATTTATTTGTGTTATCTGTGTTTAGTTGTATATTGTGAAGGATTTATTCATTTGTTTCTCTCAAAGTACTCAATATGCAGCAAGTGTTTACCCAAATAGGGTGAGTCCACCACAAATAGCCCAGGTCAGCAAGCCTGGTTCGTGCTCTGTGTGGGTGATCACAGTCTGCTGGCAGTGAGGACACAGAGTCTGTCCCGGGACATCATGTAGTGATGGTGTTACCACCATATGAGTCACTGAAAATGACAAACAACACAAAACATTTTAAATATAACCCTCCACTCCATGATGGACCAATTTATCACATCTATAGGCTACTTCATGACAGCTGGTAACGATGTTCAAAAAGATTTATACARCTAAACCCTGACCTCTGGTGGATACAAAGAGACGTGTCTCAGTGCAGTGTGTCCAGTTCAGTTTCTCCATACAAGCTCAGAATTCTACATCCAGAGGCCAAAAGTCTATATCAGCATAGTGGTAAATCAAGGCCACAGTGCCCTGGAGWAACATGCTGAGTGTCAGAACTAGTGTCATGAAAACAAGCCCATCTGTAAGGACATCTCTTTAAGAGTGTGATGTTTTRTCTTGGCTGTCACAATGGCAAAGCTGGTGGAAAGGTCGCAGGATCAAATCCTGGACAGTGATCATTCTGGTTCTCTTTGGGTATTCTGGTKTCCWCCCACARCCCAAAAAACATGCTTGTTGAGCTAATTGTCCCTTGATGAGAATGGAATAGTGATTGTTTGTTTCTATGTGTCTTTGTGATGGAATTGCAACCTGACTGCCGCACGTGGACACCAACCCCCACAACCCGGGAAGGAAGAAGTGGGTAAAACATAATAAATGGATGTTTTATCAGTAGAGCTAAATATGAGCTCTACTTAGCTGTATTATGGAACCTCCTTGGTTATATTGTACTGCTGCCATATAAATAACAAGGAAACATGTTGATGCTCTCATGAAAAAAATATATGGTCATATTTTTTGAAGGTTTGAAGTTTGCTCATGTAGCTAATATGACACATCATCACCTACAAATAAACAGATTTTAATCATTAAAAAACCTCCCATCTGTCAATCGTTTGAGTTATTTTATTAAATTATGAAGCTATTGACCCACAACATGAACCATGTGTACTTCATATTGCATTGACGAAAAAAATGTAATGTATGGTATTTTCTTTGCAATAGACTTTAAATTTGAGCCTGTCTTTAAATGTCTGCAGTCACCAGCAGAGGCTGCTAATAGTGCAACCAACGCTGTTCCATGGTCCTCTGTTGAAATTACCAAATCATAAAGTAACATTGACACAGCACTTAAAGCAGGAGTGATCATGGTCAGTAACAGTGTCACTGATAAACAAAACAATGACACTTTTTAGGTAAAAACATAARTTTGCAGCATGCATGTTTCATATTTTTTGTGATAGGCCTGCTTCTGTAACAATCGAAGCAATTCTCCAGATGGAACTGTGCAAAGACTAAACACAGAACAATAGCTTTTTTTTTTTTTTTTGTGGTGTGCTGAGGCGACAAACAATGATTTCAGTCACCCAACAAACCCACAGTGTCAGTTTACCCATCCCAAACTGGGGCGGAAACACATTCACCGCCTGCTCACAGATGAACACTCACATCTGTGCAGCTTGTGGCTTAACTTTTCGAAGAAAATATGCTGGAGTTTATGAAACATGCCTGAAAATTTCATACTTTTTTTTATATTTTCATGTAAAACAAATATTTTTTTGGACCCGATAGCCTCACCTGTTGGTGAAACTGTGGCAGGAGGAAAAGCAACACCTGGGAAATAAAAGACAGAATTCAGCAAAAACACACACACACACACACACACACACACACACAC